CACAACAAAATAGGGGCAAAAAATTACGTCACCTACGGATAATTTTCAATGTCTTGTAGGTGGCAATCACAATCGAGATTGCATTAGTAATGCATAATAACATTAGTTATTTGTGCAGCCCCAACAACGTAATAAAGAGCAATAAAACTTTCTAGCGATCCCTTTCTATCAAGATATATAAAACTCGTTTTATACTTTAACCCCCTGTGAAATATCGATTTGTTATCGCTACATGTACAGTCTAGTATAATATCATTTGATTCACGTTCAGATTTAAACAACCAAAATATTCAGTACTTTCGGCAAAAGAAATATTTTGCTAATATATTCAAACAAGTACTATGATTTAAAACTGGGGTACATTCGCACAGAGCTACATGCACGACGATCGTTTAACTAGCTTGTGTTTTTTATTTCTGTTATAGTCTAATTGTTTTTCTTTTCTCTCTAATACACGAGGTATAGTAGGATTTACAATTGTTTTTTTTACAGGTATAGAGTAAATTTGTTATGGATTTTAAAACCATTACTACACTATAATTCTTCACTTAAACTGTCTTGCATGGAAGGAAAAGTAACTGATATTTGCGAATGACCAAACATTTCATTTTACCCATGCATTTTTGTTGCAATAATAAATTACCTCGTCATTCCATATATACGGCCTTTTCACATGCAGCAGACGAATTATAGAACGTACAGATGATGCGAAAGAGTTCCAGCTGCATGGGTCCTCTGCTTTTAAAAAAGCCAAAAATGATAGATATGAACAGATAGCCCTGCACATGATATTAGTATATTTATAGATAGATAGGATAGCTCTGTACATGATTTATACATGCACTAAATGTTCGATTAAGCATGTTCGGATGAAATAAACTCCTTAAGCTTAAAATTAATGGTCGAAAGAAACCGTGTCGTCTATTACCAATCCTATACGGTATATAGATAGAATAAAACTTAAAGACAGGGAATAAAATTTGCTGATTAAGCTTTTATTCTTGCTCATAGATGAGATGGGTTTATATGTATAAAATCCGGCGTGTTTTTGGTGGTGTAATTTCAACTGTTGGCCTTGATGTGGCACTTTCAATTTGGCTTCAAAGATGGCGGCAAAGTTATTGTTAGGAGTACGACTACAAATACAACTACGAGTACGACTACAACTTCAGTAGTTTGGCACTACTAAATTTGTCATGCATTCCTTCTGAAGCAGAAATTATACGCCTCTAGCTTTAATGCATGGTTTTATCTAAAAAAAAACACTACGATTGCACATCTAGGAACTATATGAGTTTTTGTATTAATCCGTTCCGAATTCTCATGGAAACTCTCTCATGTACTTCCACAAGTCATTATTCACGTAGGTTGATGTTCAAAGGTGTTGTGTATTTCATCGCAGTCCAATCGCCGTTGCGTTTGCCTCTGTCCAACGATCACTGGATGTATAACAACCGCCTCCTCCGTAATGCATCTCAGTTAAGAAAAAGAAATTATTTGGTATTTTTTCTTGCGACAACTTATTTGTTTTTCTCCAATCTACCGAAACCCCACGACGTTCGTAAGAAAGATTGTCAGCATGGTACGCATTTGGTGTCTGCCTACGATGGTTGGGGAAGAACGCGAAGTAACTTCTGATAGGATAAGAACCACGATAGTTATACGTCACCATTATATTGTTGGAAAGAAATCCGTTTATGTTAATGGATGTGCTTAGGTAGAGGTAATCTAGCATTGCGCGATTAACAGGACCATTGTAGGTAAGATCAGGTCCTATAATAAGCAAAAGAGATAAGGAAGCGACTATTAGTTTTAATAAAGTAATCATTAGTTTTCGCGTTGTTGTGCCAGAAGAGTTGCGACTATTCTGTAACAAAATTGCTGAAGCTCAGTTTCACCAAACCGGTGATCTCATCAAATCTGTGATGATATAGCTGAATCGGTTATTTTATATAATTAAACACTTAGCTAATAACTGTGTAAAATAAACAAAACACCTTTCGACTTTTAGCTTAGTGTTAATCAGGGTTAGTTTAGTTTTTTGATGAAGGTATACTTAAATATAGGCCCAAACATCAAGAAGTAAAATCGTAGAAGTTATAGAAACTTCCTATGACGTTCCAGAACAGTGCATCACCATTTTTGCATTACATATATATTATTTAGAAAGACATACCTGAATTTGTATTCTGTAGAAGAACTAAAGGAGTATTTGATTCCTCTGCAAGTTGTTGAATGTAAGTGTACGCCTGACTTCCATCTCTCATTTGAATATGAAGAAGAACTTCCGTACGGTTTGTGAAAATTTCTTTCACAAGGTTTGGTAGAGTTCCCGCTTTTATAGCTGACTTTGGGATGAACGTGAAACCTCCCCCATGACGAACCATATCACAGTACACTTTTATCATAGTATTGTCGATCCAGATCTCATACACACCACTCTCAGAACTTGGCAATTCTGTCAAAATATCTCTGCAACTTTTTGGCTTCTTTTTTTGAGGCTGAAAAATATAAATCAATCCCAGCGGGTTTAGACAGTAAGAATGTATTTCTGAATTACGAACACACAAATCTGCCTTTTACAATTCCCAGTCCCAGTAACTATCAAAAACGTTTCCCTACAATATCTTATTAAAAACATTAGGTTATAGAAACACGGGTGGGAGTTGGGAGAACACAAAATAATTCGATTTAATTAATTACTTCGCCTGTCTTGTTTCTATACAGTTATAGAAACGCGCTTCTCGACCAATCAAGAACACGCACGTATTATAAATGTTATTATAATGACAAATAACAAAATGAAATATAATTAAAAATAACAAAATGTAAATCTCATCTCTCAAGCCATATAACTCTATGAAACTCTTCTCTCAAATACCTGATTTACTGACAATTCTCGGAAGATTAGAAACTGTCAACTCTAATCAAGACTGGATATTACAAACAGTTGATATAAAAAAATAGAATCATGCAGTGCGAAATTGAACATTCTGCATGCGTTTGCTAATTTACTTCATCTGTATATTTAGGCGACGTTCATGCAAACATTTTATGCCCAATAAAAATAAATTATTCGATTGAAATGCATGATGTTGTTATTATATGAACCAAACGCGTGCAACAGAAATTATTTACAATTTCTTATAAGTTGCATGTTGCATAAACCAATTTAGAACCACAAAAGACAACAAAATTTTTAATGCATGCACTCGCTATTTTTTAATTTCCATAGATCTCAAAATCCTTTGGTAACGATCAGACTATATATAGCGATATTTTCATAGAAGATGAGAATGTTAGAATCTTCTTACTTTTTTGGTTTGAAGCATTTGAAGGTAGTTGAATTCGCTTTTGACAGCAGGACAATTGAATCCATCTGGAAGAATTTCATTGTTGAGTTCACAAAGACCAACATCAGCTCCCTTTGTCTTATAGTTTACCGAAACGCAATCTTTATCTCTTACACAATATATGGCGCACTCAAACTCCGTAGTTGCATGTTTTGTGCGAATAATGCTACCCGTTAAATATCTTCCTTGTTGCCGATGAAAGAAAGCATTTTGTTGAAAACACTTCTTTGGAAATTCACTTGAAACATAGGAAAGAAGCAGCCACAGTTTCAAGAAATTCATTGCTGCATGCATCAAAAGCAGATTTTAATTTCTCATCCCGCTGCTATATTTGCCTCTAAGATGCACGCATGAATATATTTCTTCATATATTAATGTCAGTTCTAATGATCTGTCATTAAGTCAATCGCATTTTTGCGGTAGTCTATATTATTATTAAATGCAGTAGTTTTAATAAAATTTATTTAAATTAAGTTTGCATGTGTCGTAGGCGGTAATTTATCTATATCCACGGGGATCCATGGACACGGTTCTTCGACGCGAATTTTCAGTTTTCAGAAACATATGGACGCCAGAGCAGTCAAAATGTATCATTGTTAAGTAATGTACAAGAATATTATGACATAGGAAAGAATTTGTTTCCTTTTGAAAAATAAGAAACTTTAAAAGATCGCGCCGCGTTCCCAAATTGCGTCCTGTCTGTGTGGGCCTTAAGATTTTATTTTTTCTCTTTTTGGCGCTAGTTTTGATAGATATAAGCCCCGTTTTTACACTTCACTAAATTATAATTGGCACACGGCATGGCCTAAAACTTGTCCCAGTTTTAAAAGTGCTCTAAAAATCAGTTTGTGATCATTTTAAACTTAGAAAAACAACCACAGGTGGGCTCCACGTACGTCGGCAGTGCACTCAACAGTAGGGACCTTATAAGCATGTAGGACGCGAATGCGACGGCGACGGCTATCAATACAATGGGTTATTGAAAAGAAATGAATAATTAAATGTTGGTCGTTTTCGTTCCGTCGATCGTCGTGCCTAGAACGGTTGCATTTCAGGACCAGCGAGCCCTACCCCAATATTAATAGGCTCTATATAGAATTGTCCTTAAACATAAACACAATGTTTTTAACGCCTTATATCTCACTAAATCGGTACAATTAGTAATATACAACAACCACTTTGCCATAGCATTTTTTTAAAGGAGAATTTCAGCCGCATCGTCGTCGTGTTGCCGTCCAATATGCTTAAAGTCCCTATTAGGTTTAGCAGTGACTAGGAGTACGGCAACGAATACAATCACAGAACACCAGTTGCATGCAAAAGATTAGTTAACTTTTAACTGAATATGTATAGCTATGCACAGAATTGCATGGCCAACCAGAGTTGCATGTGTATTTCCTTAGATATTAGAGTTAGCTATAGATATAACTTTGCAAGTTCTTGAGGTTGAAAGGGTCTTAATTTTCGAGTTGAATCATACCCACTTCAAATTCAAACCAGGAACAGTCGATGGGAAAATGAGTAAGCTATCGGTCCTCCGGCAGGAATCGAACCTATACGTTTTTGCGATGCCGGCGCAATGCTCTTGCCACTGAGCTACAGAGGTAGCTGACAAGAGCAAGCGTGGTTTATGTTTATATGATGATAATGCCGGGAATAGGTGCAAAGGTGACTCAATTATGATTTTTGGCACTTCACTCGAAGTAGGTAAATTCAATAGGTTGAAAGGGTCCTAATTTTCGAGTGGAATTATACACACTTCAAATTCATCATTGGGGCCAGTTGTATAAAACTCCTTAACTACATTTTTGGTTATATGCAAAATGTAGTTAAGAGTTTTATTCAACAGGCCCCAATGATGTAACTATAGCTAGAGATTATTTTCGTGTCCTCAAATTTTCCCAAAATGTAAACTTCATGCACACGCCATGCACACTTGTTGGACTAGTGGCCGCCTGTGAATTTTTGACTATTTCTACCGTTTTAGTAGTGATTTGTACGTATTTGTTGGCTATTACGCAAAAAACACTTGCCAGCAAATTGGCTGTCTTTGGACATTTTTATTACTCAGATGGACATTTGTCCATTTTTTTTCTGTGAGGTCATTCTCACGTGTTATTTGCTTTACGCCATCAGCCAAAACTCGTACTCGTTGAGCTTCCAAGAAAGAATTTGCAAGTATGATTCAATTTCGTATTCAAAAGCACAGGGACGCCGGAGAGGGGGGGCAAGGGGGGGGGGCATTCGCCCCCCTTGCCCTTTCTTAAGGGGAGCAAGGGAGGCCGACGATGCCCATAAGAATACTGTCTGAATTGTAGTAGTGACTTTTTCCCATTAGTGAAAATAAGCGTCACATTTACTTAATATTGATTGAAAACGGACAAACGACTTGAAACCGATTACAAGCAATGTTTAATAACTATAATTAACAATTAGACAACGTGTCCGAGTTGTCTATGAGCGAATAGTCAACGAAGGTGAAGCCTGAGTTGACTACTCGCTCATAGACAACGAAGGCGAGTTGTCTAATTGTTTTAGTATACACCCTGTACCTAGATATATTAATTTCGAGAAAATAATCGATACACCGAAAAATAATTCAATTTTATACGGTCGCGCGAGCGAAATTTTCCCAAACGTGCACCATCACGAATAGACAATGGTTGAGTAGCCAATCAGAATGTAGGATTTGTAATAGACAATAGTCGGGTGTATACTAACAGCTAATAGAACTTGTTTATAAACACGCCATTCGGGCATTCGCCATTCGTAGAGTAGAATCAGTGAAGAATTGGAATAAGACATAGTCACATAGATACCAAGAAGGTAGGAAAGTTGTAATTTGTTTTCTCATTGTATGTTATTTCTAGTATTTTTGTTCGTCAAGTACGGTTTATTTGTTTCTGTTGCAGTTCAAATTAGCAAGTCGAAACTTGTTGGAAAATGTGAGAGAAAAAGACTTCTCCTCGATTCTTGCCGACGAATCATCTGACGTCTCCAAGAAAGAACAACTCTCATTCTCTGTGAGAACGTGTGATGATGACTACAAAGTTTTTGAAGATTTTGTTGGCATTTTTGAATGCAGTGAGGGTCTATCAGCTGATGCCCTTTTAAAGTACACAGAAGATATCCTTCTCAGGTCCAGCTTAGAAGGCGCCAAGATGGTAGCGATGGGTTTCGATGGAGCAGCGGCAATGAAATCTTTAGCAAGAAAGCTTAAAGCTTCAGTTGCAAAAAACGCCATGTATGTTCATTGTTTCGCCCATTGCAATGAGCTAATTGTTAAGGATGCAATCTCGCGATGTCCCTTGTTATCAACATCGTTGGATCTGTGCCAAAGTCTGTACGCAATCGTTGGTTGGTTCAAAAAAATTCGAGAAGAGTTTAAACAAGAAAGTAATGGAGAGGAATACAAAGTCCTTCGACTCCAGAGCCTATCCGCAACACGATGGACGACAAGAGTGAAGGCAGCTGATGTTATTTTCGAGAAGACCAGTGAGCTGCGCGCAACCCTTGAAGAGATGAAAACCGACGTCAATCTCTCTGCTGACACGAAAACGAGGATCAAGGGAGTTTTAAAGAAACAGCTGTCTTCGCTCCCGGTTCTCTTCAATTTGAATGTCTCACGTAAGCTACTTGTTCTGTTGGAAAAATTCTCGAAAGAACTGCAGGCAGTTGAAATATCTGCTGATTATGCTTTGTTTTCCCTATGATGTATTGTGCAAAGGTTGAGCGAAATGCGGAGTAGGGAAGAATTTGAGCGCATCCTTAAAGAAGCAAGGAACATACCTGGAGTTGAGAAAAATGCAGATGCTCGTAGACAAAGGAAAATCCCAAGATGGATGGAAAGTGGAGAAGCTTTGCTGACAGAAAGACTTCACTCAACAGGCACTGTAGATAACGAAGGCACAGATAATATGCGCCGATCTTACAACGAAGCAATCGATGCCATTGCTGAAGGTATCAAAATGAGGTTCGACCAAGAAGACCTTTCCCTTGTAAAAAGCATAGAGCAAATCCTGTTAAGATCTGAGTTTGAAAGAGAATGTCCGTTAGATAGCCTAACTAGGCAAGCGAATTGATCGACGAAGACACGCTGAGGATGCAACTTGGTGATATGCCAACACTTGTTGGTCTCTATAACGCAGAGAGGAAAAAGAAAATCACATCTATCTCTCGCATTTCAACCATCGCCAATATATTCAACGAAATGCCTGCTGCAAAGATACGGTGCTCCGAAGTACACAAGATGATTAAGCTGTACTACACCATCCCTCTTACCTCAGCGTCGTGTGAACGCACATTCAGTGCTATGCACCGACTGAAAACATTGCTGCGAGGAAATACCGGAAGAAATCATTTGAACTGCATTATGTTTGCAAACATTCAGAAAAGTGATATGGACAAAGTTGATATCAAATCGGTTGCCCAAGAATTTACAGAAAGGAATGATAAAAGAAGAGCCTACTTTGGAAAATTCATTTAAATAGATGTTGAAATATGCAGGCATATGTCGATGTCGCCTTGCCAGTTTGGCAGTTTCTTAATTAAAGGAGTTTTGTTTATAGCTCATCATTTATAACACTTTTTCCAAAGTTTTATTGAAACATAAAGATTAAATGTGTTTTTGTTGACGTTTAGTAACTGCTGATGCATGATTAGCAATTAAGTGCAAGTATAAAGTATTCTACAACTTCATGTACGATAAGTTTAGCACTGTGTTAAAGCACACAAAAAAAAAGTGCATTGTTTGACGTGTTTGTAGTTTGTACATTTGTTATTTGTTATAGGAAAATAGATGACAATGATGAGAAAATATTCCCTTGAAGTCCCTTGATCAATTAATGTATTCGAAAAAAATTATCTTTCGAATTTTGATTGCTCTTTACGCTGACGTTGCCCCCCGTTGCCCTAACGCTTGTCCGGCGTCCCTGAAAAGCACAAGCACTTCGAGTTTCGTCAGATGGTGTATGCGAAGAACATTTATTAAACACTAAAATTATCTATTCTATGCTACAATTAAATTTAACCTTACATTTAAAGTGCATATTGCAGTACATGCAGTAAGATATGAGTTAGATCGTTGGCTCGAAAAATAAATGGTTTAAATTATTATAAATGGCTTATGAATATGCAAACATAATTTATAGTTATCGTTTTATAGGCTCGATCTTCCCGCTTTATACAACTAGGGAATTGCCTAATTAAATTCCTTTAAAAATGAAAACTGCGACTGGACAAACGACAGTAATTAAACTTTTACAATATGGGATAAAGAAACAGACGAATTAATTTGCTAAAGTCCACACAGAGTCGATGGAATGAGATCATAAATTGTGCGGTTGTTTCACAGCAATTCTTTTCTTCATGCCTTTCAACTTTGTTTTGGGGTATTGAGTTTCTGAGGATAAATCGCTTCGAAGGTTTCGTGGTTCTGATTTTTTTTGAGCATGGTCGACATATCCTCCGAAGCAGGCTTTTGAATGCTTTTTTGTACGTTACATCAAGACACGCATATATGATTGGGTTTAAAAGGGAGTTAAATATCGGAAGTGTACGTGTTATTAAAATGTTTGCAAAATAATGAAGCAAACACGTACGTTGCAATTATAATAAACTGATGGGAAGTAATAATATATCATCAACATAGAAAAAAAAGGACCCCAACAAATTATAAATGCAACCGCGACAACTAACAACATGCGGATGACTCGAAGATCTTGATGAAAATCCTTTTGTTTCACTCTGTCCTTGCTGTAAATCTGGCCCAGTTCACCATTTCGCACCCTCTTGCGTCGATTGTGTGCAGCAAAAAAAATGAGGGATTGCATGACCAATATGATTATGGTTGGAACAAAAAACGCACTAACCGCGATGAATGTATGAAAACCCTTATTTATTAACAAACATCCGTGAAATGATGTAAAGATACCGGAGTATTCTTCGTAGGGAAACATAGATAATGTCGCATATGTCGTTGCAATGAACCAGATGCTTCCGGTGATCGTTCGTGACTTTGAATTTGTCATTCTTGTTCTGTACTGAAGTGGCCTGCTGATTTTTAGATATCGGTCGAAGCCATGATGAACGTCAGCGTGTAAATAGATGCCGTCGCAGCAAATGCATCGACCCAAATGAGAAAACGGCAAAGTTGAATAGCGTTGATTCCTTCGCTCTTCTCTTCATCATATAAATTCTGATAGGACCGATCGGAGCACGATAAGCCGACTAAAAGATCAGCAACAGCTAGGCAAGCAACAAAATATTTGCTTGGCTTATGAAGGCTTCTCTCCTTCCAGGTGGCAATCAAGACTAAACTGTTTCCCATGGTTGCGAATATCGTGATAATTATCACTATTGTTGCTTCTGAAGAGACAGTTGCTTCATATAAAGTAGACTCCACTATGAAGAAAACATAACTAAATCTATAACTAAATCTACGTGTGGTTACGCCCCTCCTCCAAATAAATTGCATAACTTATAACAACTTCACATTCTTTGGAAGTGTTTGGTACACGCCTTATGATTTGGGAAGCACATTTCATTTTGATACACTTTAATATAAATCTTTCTTCGTCTATAATTTGAACTGTGTCTGTAAATGTTTGTCTGTTCTAGAAGAACTGCTAAACTGCGTATTGTCATGCATTATTATTAATATAATTATTTTATTGCCTCTTTGACTCTTTCTATCTATCGTCTAAAATTTCTCGGAGACTTCTCCGTCATCTCGTCTTATAATTACATCTGATCTAGTTAAATAAATCATGCATGCTTAGGCTACACTTAATCGTAAGTGTACTTTTACCCAGCACGTTAAACATACGTCCTGAAAAATACTCGTGCAATATTTAACAATTGTTGAACATGATATGAAAAATTAAGCCAAGTTTGTGGTTATCAACCGAAGCGGCTTCATAGTTCTTCATATCATGTGAAAACCGAATTCAATTCAATTCTTTTAAATAAATAATGATTAACAAGTATTCGCCGAGGTGAATATCGTGAATTGGTTTCTCTTAATGAAGTAATATACCGTTTACAATATAGTCAGTCATTTGCTGATGATGTATTTATAATGTATTTACTTTTTTCAGGTATAACGCTACAAAAATTTTTGTATAGTAGGCACATCAACAGAATTTTTTTGCTTGTTGAGTTAGGCATCTCCATTTGTATTTAACAGTTTTTCACATCGTGATAAACAACTGATGTCATTTAACCTCTGCTTAAGTTGACCCAGCCAAGTTGTCCATTCTGTTATTAATAAAAGCAGCGTGCGCATGTCCGGCTTTTGGACCTATTTTTTGCTAAGCCTTCGAACGGACGATTTCGAACTATGAGCGATCTCTAAAATCGTTTCAGCGAACGGTTGAAGCAAAGGAACGGGTAACTAACGAACTTTTTAACAAACGAAATAGCGTTAGCGTATGTTTTCCCGTGGAAGGTCATAAAGTATCACCTGCTGTATATCTATAAAGACGACTCAACAAGATACGCTATAGCAATATATATAGATAGTTGTATAAAACATTTTATGCATGGATTGACCCTTATATATATGAATTACTTTGTGAACTTACTTTTCTCTTTGTAGGACGGAGCATGTAGGTGTATATAGAGAGTTATTAAGCTCTGCGTCCACAGCAAACGTAAAAAAAAAATTCGTTTCACCTAAATATATAAACGCCTCTTATCTTTATCTGATTACGCCCTGTTTTGAATTAACACGTACAACTTTTGCAGTGCATTTAGCCGAAAGAAATACTTACTACCATTCTTTGATGGACCAATAAAACGATGGGATATTCATTTAAGCGAACACACAATCATTAATATTTATTATTTCATATGCATGACAAAACACACTTTTATTACCGTAAACTGTTGACAAAACACACTTTTATTACCGTAAATTGTCAAGAGAGTTATAATACAACCAATTAGGTAGATACGCAACATAAATTAATTATTAATGTAAACTCAACTATTCTCAACCGTTTGTCAATAAAAAGTTTTAGATTTGACTACGGCTCCCGCAACGCCTACGAGATTCGTTACTGTGGCGCGAAACAAACGTTGTATGCATAAGCCATCTGGTGCTGGCATGATAAACCACAGCAAACACAATAAAAAATGCATGTTCATCCTGTCAAATATTTCGGAAATTTTACGCCTACTTCTGATTTTGAAAAGTACACATAATCAAAGGCCACGGTCACGAAAAAGAGTTCTCTCAATTTATTTTCTGGAAAAAACGAGAAAAAATGTCAACTTTTATTGCTTTTTAAATCACGTAGTGAGGACTACGAAGTTGTCTTAAAATGGCGTAGTCAGATAAGCGACGGCTACGAGTGTGTGGCGTCAGTACGAAGTATCACGAATATCAGGTAAATGTGGCCAATATTGTAGCGGAAGCGAGATCCGTAGTCAAATCTAAAGCTCTCTAGTTACGCGTTTACGGCAGGCAATAAATTTAACCCAAAAAGAACTTCTACACTGTTATTTTCAGGGAGTTATTTTAACACCCCCAAATTTCATTTTTCGGGGTGTTAAATTTTGATGCTATTTTGACACCACTTTTAGAGTTATATTAACTCCTCGGTGGAGTAACGAGGTCTTCGAACGTTGATTAGTATGCAAAAATAATCCCATCTAGAGGGGTTAGAGGAATTAACTCCATTTTTGGAGTTGAATTCCTCTCATTATATAT